GATGGCTGACATTTTGGTGAGCCAAGGAAGATTCCAGAAATAAGCCCGCGACACGAAAACGAAGCTGTTTTGGGCTATTTTTGAGGTTGTTTTGCTCGGTTCGGTGAGCGATCGTTTTGTAACGCTGCAGCTTGTTGGAACTAACATTTTTACAAGCAAAATGACCCAAAACCAAGACAAAACATGCTGTCAAGCAGCTGTACATGTAGGTGTGAGCGACGAGCGGTTCGTTGAACGGAGTTGTTGCGAGTGCGCGACGACCGTTCGTGACATTCTCCCCCACTTAAACTGTCGATGCCCTCGTCAATGCTTGTTGGTAGTTATTGATGATTACTTCTTCATGTCTAAGGCGTCTTCAGGCTCCCAACTGGCTTCAGTTCGGAGAAGCTTTCGCCACTTCACCAAGTACTTTGTCTGCTCAGCTCCATTGGGTAGTTTTATCTTACGGTCCGCCAGAATGGTTTCAACTCGCTTCTCGTAGGAGGCAGTTGTAGGAGGTAGCCGAGTTGGAACACTTTGGGAAGCATCTTATGGATCAGAGTGGTAGGCTTTTAGGTTACTGACGTGAAGAACGTTGTGAATTTTGAACCACGCCGGCAGCTGCAACTTGTAGGAGACGTTGCCTACCCTGTTGATAATTGGGAAGGGCCCTTCATACTTACGCACCAATCCTTTGTGGATTTTGTTCCTAAAGAATTGGAGTGATGTTGGTTGGAGCTTTACCAATACCAAATCGCCGACCTTGAACTCTTGCGGTCGCCTTCCCAAGTCTGCCCACTTCTTTATTCTTCTTACCGCCTTCTCCAAGTAAACCTGTGCAATATCTGCATTTCGGTGCCACTCCTTTGTAAAGTGGTAAGCTGACGGACTACTCCCAGTATACCCAATCGCCATGGTGTGAGGAGTTGACAGTTGTTATCCTGTAATAATCTCGAAGGGGCTTTTGTTGGACGCAGAGCTCCGCTGCAAGTTGTAGGAGAATTGGGTAATGTCCAACAACTTTACCCAATCTCGTTGGTTGGCACCCACGTAGTGCCGAAGATATTGCTCCAAAAGCGAGTTTATCCTTTCAGTCTGGCCATTCGTCTGAGGGTGGAGGCTTGTGGAGAAGTATAACTTTGACCCCAACAATTTGAATAGCTCGGTCCAGAATCGTCCCAGGAACCGAGCGTCTCGATCACTAATGATATTGTGCGGGACTCCCCAATACTTCACCACATCCTTCATCATTAGCTTGGCCGCTTCTTCTGCTGAATAGTGTAGGGGAGCAGCATTGAAAGTTGCATACTTTGAAAACCGATCGACCACCACGAGTATCGATCCGAGTCTCCCTACAAGTGGCAAGCTTAATATGAAGTCTAAGGAAATGCTCTCCCACGACCTTTCTGGTAAGGGCAACGACTCCAAAAGTCCCACCAGCTTCCGCTGCTCCACCTTGTCTTGTTGGCAAGTGAGGCATGTTCGAACATATTCCTCCACATCAGTCCCCATCTTCGGCCAGTAGAAGGCCCTCTCCACGAGAGCCAACGATCTATGAATGCTTGGGTGTCCAGCCCAAAGGGAATCGTGACACTCCCTTAAGAGTTCACGCCTCAAATTGTCCACTCGAGGAACATAAACTATATTCTCTTTGGTGTAAACGAGTCCCTCCTGGACCCAAAATTGTCGTGCCTTGCCTTCTTTGATGAGCTGTATCAGGATAACTACCTTGGGGTCACTATATAGTCCATCCCTGATCCTGGAAAGGAAGTTGGAGTGCAATTGACTTGCTTGGCCTCCGCCCTCCAATTGTACGGCATTCACACGCTCCACTTTCCGACTCGATGCATCGGCCACGACGTTTGCCTTCCCAGGCTTATACTCCATTGCCATATCAAATTCAGCCAAGAAGTCCTGCCATCTTGCTTGTTTTGGGGAAAGTTTCTTCTGTGTTTGAAAATAGCTCAGAGCGATGTTGTTTGTCCTCAGCACAAATCGCGATCCGAGAAGGTAGTGTCGCCAAACTTGTAGACAGTGGATCACCGCTGTCATCTCCTTCTCGTGCACTGGATACCGCCGCTTGGTCTCGTTGAGCTTGCGGCTCTCGTAGGCCACCGAATGATCTTCCTGCATGAGTACTCCCCCAATAGCAAAGTCCAAAGCATCTGTATGGACTTCAAAAGGCTCCCCATAGTCTTGCAATTTGAGCACTGGTTCTTCCATAACAGCAGCCTTCAGATCTTGGAATACTCTTTCACATTTGTCCGACCACTTCCAAG